ACACATCTTGAAGCACACACACGCCTTACATGAACTGTCGTTTCTCTGATCGCCACCCCTCTTTCTCTCTGCCTCCCGCAGTGCGACCCATGAGCCTGTGCGTTCCTGCTCTTTTCTCGACGTGAGGCAGAGCGGCAATATTGCTTCAAGTGTCTTAACTTTTTTGTTTCTCTTCACATGCATACGCCACTGGATGCTCTGTTTGCTCTTTCTTTTTTTTTTTCGTTTTTGAGGTCTTCTGCTTTTTTTTTCCCTTGCGCAGTGTTTAGGGCAGAGTAGGTGGCGCGGAGCGGTTACAAGAGGCATTCTTGTGTCTGCTTTCCTGTATTCATGGTGCTGGGACAGGCACGTCTGTTTGTGGGGCAGCTGAACTTTGATGCAACCGAGGAAGACGTCTGCGCCCTTTTTGACTTCTACGGAAAGGTGCTCCACGTGAATGTACTTCGCGACAGGACAACCAACCGCAGCAAGGGAAGTGCATTTGTGGAGTACGGATCGACGGAGGAGGCCGATTGTGCCATCATGGCTCTGCACAACCGCTACAACATGGAGCGCGAGAAGCCCCTGCAGGTGTCGTACTGTGGGAAGTCCGAGGTAATCTCCGAGTATGGCCGGGAGCATGCGCTCAGGCTCCACCGTGAGAACAGCGCGAACCCTGCCCCTCCTGAACGAACAGTGCCACAGTGAAAAGTAACATTTTTGGAAAGTAAATGGAAATGCGTGAAAGGGAGTTGTTTTTTTTTATGCCGTTCCTTGTAGTATTAATGTTATTGTATGGTTTGAAGGACATGGCCGCTATTTTGTTCTTGTCCTTGTTGATCTTAATATTGCATTACACGTAGTGCTTTTTTTTTTTTTTTTTTTTGGTGTGTGTGTGAGAAATATGAAACGGGGGGTACTTATTTTTGGTCGATCTCCTGCTGTTTATTAGAAGGGCGGGGGAGATGTTTTTCCCCCATTTTGTTTTTGTTTACGACACTGTTCTGCGATAGTAAGTGGTTTTACAAAACGTTTTTTTTTGTTGTTTTTTTTTTTTTTTTTGCAGAGTGTATGGAGAAAATATTACGTGCATTTGCATTTCAAAACTAACTTGGGTCATGATTCCGTGAATTATTATGATGTATGCCCTTCCCCCTCTGTCTCTCTCTCTCTGTGTGTGTGTGTGTGTGTGTTTGTATTAAATGAGAATTCATTCTGTCTGTTTTATTGTGTTGTTGAGTTGCGGAATTTTTGCTGCTGCTCTTGTGAGGGGAACAGGGAGTAGGAATTTTCCTCTCAAGGGCTTTTCTTATGTATTTGGTTCTTTATTTATTTTGTGTATGTGTGCGCGTGTGTGTGTGTGTTTTGTCTTTCTTTCTTTTTTTTTCCCCTCGCTTTTTTTTTGTTGTTGTTGTTTTTGTCTGTGGTGGCTATTCATGGCGTGAAGGAAGTGTAGGTGTTGGAATAGTGCCTACCGGTGATTGTCGGGTCTCTCTTCTTGTGCCCTCTGCCTGCGCGTGTGAATGTCTCGTCGTGGATTTCCGGCGCACCGGGAGCGTTCCCCCGAGAATGTTGATGGGCGCAGTATTCGCCCAAGGACAGAGAACCGTATGCCCCTCGCGGAGCTGGGAGCACCCGTGGTGCAGTGCGTGGACGGAATGTCAGAGGAGGCACTCTACGCCGCGATGTGCCCCAGCGATGGAGAGCCACTGCCCCCCGGCTGGGAGAAGGTTGTGTATCACGGCACCATTGTTTATCTCGATCATGTGGCACGTGAAGCGCATGAAGTGAGGCCATGGGAAGTGTGGCAGCGGCGCTCAGAGGCGGCAAAATAACTCCCCGCGCTGGCTGGGCAATAGTGCTGCTGTCGGTGTTGGTGTTAGGTGCTGTGGGCGTAGCCCAATCTTGAGGAAGGACCGTGCGAAGGATTGAGCAAATAAGAAAATATATACATTAACATCAAAAAAAATTGTTTTTATTTGTGTGCGTTTTTGTGTACCGTTGTTTTATTGCTTTTGTTTTTTGTTTTTTTTTTTTTTTCCTTCTAGCTTGTTCCCTACTTTGAATACCAATCAGGCCACTGCGCTTATTGATGCCGAATGGTCTTGCGTGCTGGTATCTTTGCTTCGCTGCTGCATATTTTTGTGTTTTTTTTTTTTTGGAGGGGAGAGGGTGCGAGCGGGGTTTTGCATGTCTTTACCCCCTCCTTATTTTTTTTTTTTTTTTTGAGTTTAGGTCATTGTAGGAAGGGAGTGCGCAAAGAAATATACATAAATACGTGCATACAAGGGACCGGTGGTGAAGCAGGAAGGGAAAATTTGAGGGGCAGCAACACCCCAGCACATATACACGGAAAAAGAGGAGGGAAATTGAATAAGAGAAGAGGTGGAGGAAGTCTGACAGGAGCAGAAAGGGGTGAGAGAGATTTTTTACTTGTTCTCTCGGCCTGTGTGTGGGGAGGGGAGTCGGATTTTAAGAGTGAGAAGAAATCAAGTTTGTACGCGGGTGCTGGGTTCCTGCTAGTGGCCCACTCGCCGGCTCTGTTTCTTCCCCCATACACCGTCCCGCGGCACACACCATTGGTGCAACCCCCACCTTCCTTCTGTTTCCCGGCCCCGGTGCTCTCATCCGTGCAATCTCGTGGCGGCAGCTCTTGTCAACGATCATCGCCAAAGAGCACACACGCACATAAGTGGGAAACACGAAAGGAACAAACGAGAAAAAGGGAGGAGGTGGAGGAGAGCAAAGCTCCAATACCTTTTTTATTTTTCGTTTCTTTTTGGGCGAAAGTTGGCATAAGCCTGGAAGCTGCATCGTTTGATTAGTTTTTGTTTTTGTTGTTCTTGTGAGTGTGTGCGGGTGGTGTTTATTGTCGATGAACTTCAGGACACTCACAAGATTCTGGAGGAAAGGGGGAAAGAAGGGAGCCGGGGACGGTGCACACGGTAATTCCAGCTCCGTGCACAGTGTTTCATCGCAGCAGCAACAACAACAACAACAACAGGGACAACGTGCCATAGGGCCATTTGAAAACAAGCAGGCCGCGCTACATTATATTTTTCAAATTTTGGAATCCTTTGAGAGAAATGGTTTGGCCTTATCCCCTTTTAACCTCGAGCAGGATCCCGCGTGTTCCAGAGCGACATGTGCCGCAACAGCAGCCTCATCCCTCAGTTTACATTCAAACCGCACTTGTAATCCTGTGAAAGAGAACATGCATGCATTGAGGCAGGAGCGGGAGGAATTAGTTGCCGCGCTCGACCTTTGCCTGTTAGCAATACCAGAAGAGGTGGCAGGGACGAATGGCAACTGTGACAAGAAGGGAGACGCAGAAAATGTCCAGGCGACAGCAGTGGATTGCCCCAACGGGCAAGCGGCGGACGGTGAGGCGCCCGAACCATCCCCCGAGTTGCCCGACGCTCGTCATAGCACGAGAATTATTACACAAGAAGAGTGGCGGTGGCTGTTGTGTCGACTTGTGAATCTTCTCATTGAGACTGACCATGCGATCTACACAGATGCGATGATGCGCTCTCGGATGCCCTATTCATTCATAACGCCGTTTCAGTCCCCTCCTTCATCGCCTGGAAAGGCACCTTCAATCCCCCATGGTGTCTCAAGAAGTCCCACGATAGACGGTAGGGAAAGCCCAACTATTTTAGCTCTTCAGCAAGCAGCCCCTTCCAAAAGAGCGACGCCGCTCCCGAGTTCCAAATCAGTCGGAGAAGCTAGCAACGACGCCAGGTTTAATGATTTTCGAAAAGCTGAGGAAAGGATGGGTTTTGTAAATTCCCTCATCACATGGACCATTATGCGCTGCATCTTGTCTCAGCAGCTGGGGCAGGAACGCCCCTTCGGGGTCTCGACATCCGAGTTTCCACCACCCCAGACGACGAGGCAGACGACATATGGTGTTCCTGTACAGTGGGAAGAAGTCATAGAGGAGCTCACGAATTTCTTGGGAGGGACTCAACGGAAGGCTGCTGAAGTTGCCATAGCACTCTGGATATTGCGTGATGCAACCGGTCATGAACTCGTCCAGTGTATCCTACAAAAACCGCAGTGTAGTTTTGGTAGCGTCTTGGAAGGCAAACCGCATGGTTCATTGGACGCGGCCTCTACGAATAAATCGCCTCAGGGCCCTTCGTTGTTTCAATACACCGTTCTCCTCATGGAAAGCAGTGATAACACTGTCTCCATGGACGATATTCTGGAGGAGGTGGAAAAAGTGTATGAACAAAACGTTCTCAGGACGTGGGCAGCATATCTTGAAGAGCAGTCGTCTACTTCAATGTTCCCGAAGGCAGAACATCAGGATTTATCCTCACCCCCTCTTGATCTCTTTCATTGCCATACGATGGCAACCTATGCCGTTTGCTCTCCCTATTGGAGTGAGGAAAAACGACAGCAATTTTTCCGGCTAATTCAAAAAACATGGGATGAAATGAATGAACTAGCTTTAGGGACAGAGACAGGCAAGGAGGTTCACGCCGTCGCTACCGGGGTCTTTGGTTCTCAGTGCACCTCTGTGGATGCGTATGGTGGCAACGCTAGTGCCTTCTCTGCGACGGGGGCTGCTGCGGATGCTGGTGACGCCCTGTTGGAGGAACAACGTATGGTCACACACATGTCGCACTGCACCCCAGAGAAACCAACAACTGGAATTGATGACGAAATTCGCTCATTTCGCTCGTTATCCGCGCAATCCATAAATGGAGGCATGTCACAAACCGGCTTGTCAATAGCTGAAGCCCAGCACGCGATGTTTGATGATGATTTTTTGCTCTTTATGACGCAGATCTTATCGGCAGTTGTTTTGCATTTGCGTGTGGAGCAATGTTTGAGCACATCCCCGCCACGCCTTGAAGAGGCAGAATGTTTCGTGAATAGCGAAGATGAATTATCCATTACGAGCTGCTTCTTTTCATGCAGACAAGGAGCCCGTGAGTCCCTTGTGAAGCTACGCATTGCCACTGGGAATTATCCTGAGGCTCTCAAGTCTGCAAATGCTCACTTTTTCAATGCGAAGAAAAAATGGTCATTCGGGTCGAATGGCCGCAGTTGTGGATTAAACTATTTGGCCTCTATGATGCTTCTGGTACAGGCTCAGGAGGTGTCCCGTATGGACACGTCTATTGTTGAAACGGTCCAGCTTGCACTTCAACAAGCTGACCTTTGTGAACAGGCGTTTGTTGATTCCTATCCAGCAACTGGAACGTACTTGGTGCGCTACGCTGCTGTTCGACATGGCGTCTACAGCGCAAGGCTCTTCCACCTTCGGGCCATCTGGCGCGCGTACTATCGCATGTATGACTCTATCAACACTTCCAAATACTTTAATCAGTATTTGGAATGTGTCAGGCATTGCCGCCGTTCCAGACGAAATGAAGAAATGTATGCGGCATTGAAGGAACGGGGTGAACAGCTTGAGGTGGAGAAGGAATACGGCAGTGCTGTGCTGGTCTTCAAACAAGCCGTTGAGTACGCGAAAGTTACGTCCCAGGCAGCCGCAGCAGAAGCAGAGGCAGCAGCAACAAGAAAAACAAAAGATTTGGCCATGGGCTCCGATGTTTCTGTTACGGAGAATGCGGATTTAGAGATTTTAATTTTGAAGGAGCGTGAGCTGAAACTTTTTCGCTGTGAGGCGGAAAGCGAACGCAACCTCGCCCTTGCGTATGTCTTGCAGGCGGAGCACGAGGTGAACGTCCGGTGTCGCCGTCAGCAGCTTAGTAATGCGGTGAACAGCGCGTACGCGGCGCAAAACGTATTGCAGCGCTGTATACTGAAGGCGAAGCCCCCTTCCAGTGGCACAATGTTCGATGTCACCTCGTCTCTTGTTGTGGCGGCAAAGGCCCTGTTGCGTCTCGGACAACCGAAGAAGGCCGCGCTGCTACTGGAGCCACTTATTGAGGATAAAGTCAACTCGGCCTCTGTTCGCCCACCTCTGTGGTCCGACGCGCTGCCGGACCCCACACGGCCCATTCCGGCTCGTGAACTGGAGGAGCGTGTGCAAACACTCCAGTTGAAATTCAACGTATATGAAGTTCATACACAGTGCCTAAGTAAGTTTGACGGCGCACGTGCGTCTCGCGAAACGGCACGCGCACGGGAGTTTTTGGACCAAGTGAAAAATTGGGCAAGTGCACTTCTTTCCAACGATCAGAATAGCGGAAATTCCTCGGAAGGAGAATCCCAGTCGATGCTCTTCGCAAATAGGAGACTTCTTACTGACATTTCGCAGAAGGCAAATGCATTGCGGCCGATTATTACTATCACTTGCGGTGATGCCTGGTCCATGCTGGGTAATTGGGAGAATGCACTACAAGAGTACTCAAACGCCCTTGCGATGTACGCTGATAGGGAAGGGGAGAGCAATAGCAATGATATTAGCAGTACCAGATCATCCTTTATGGATGCCGGGAAGGAACGGGAACGGAATAACCGCGGTTTAGGGGAGTCAGTAGTATTTTCAAAGCTGGCTGAAGTGTACTCCGCATTAAACAAGCCCAAGACCGCCATCCACTATAATCATCAGGTTTTGGAATGCGCCTCAGAGGTGGGCGATGCGTTGTTGTTGTACAACGCACGTATCCGGCTTGCCAGACTGTATACAGCAACAGGAGACACTTGGGAGGCAGAAGAGCAGTGGGCAAAGGTGAGTGAGCTCGCAAAAGAGTACGAGGATCAGGAGATAAGTCGTGAAACCACGCGCAACATCATTGCTGCACAGCGTGCGAAGGGCATTTATATGGATGTGCTCATCACAGCAAAGGAGTTGGACACTTTGGCGTCTGCCGCGGAGGGCGTGGACGCGGCTGCGGATAAACGTTTTGCGTTGGAGGCCTTGGCCGATGCTCACCTGCAGCTTGGTCAGTACAAGGAATGTATTAATGCTCTTGACGAGCTAGAGAAGGTGCAGTACAAGTGTAGCGAGTGGAAAGGAACATTGTTTCGTATGCGGGCCCGTGCCCTTCTTGGGGATGGAGAGGTACAAGAGGCGATTAAAGTGCTCATGATTTGGGAAAGCGAGGCACGGCAGCTGCGGAATTGGGTTGAAGTGGGACACGCCAATGCCGTTCTCGCAATTGCCTACGCCACATCCCATCAGGTCTTTAAGGCGAAGCGAAATCATGAGATTGTGCTTTCAGCCTTTTCAGAAGCCTCAAGTGTAAGTCGGGAGGACTGCAATGCGGCGTTAGACTCCGCACGTTGGCTTGTGCATAATTTTTATTTGAACGACGAGGAAGTACCGCTTGTGGAGAAGGCGGGTCGTCATTCCGGCAGCACGCCTACCCATGGGACCTCCCCCTCTGGTGGCAATGACAGAACTGGGAGCGTTCATGATGCCAATGAGTTTCAGATACTAACTGTGAGTGGAGATCTTAATGTTCTTATGCGAGAGGATGAAAAACGCCTAAGGAAATCGCAGGAGTTGGCTCATGCAGGCGGTGGCGGCGGCACAGACACCGTGCGTGAAGAGGAAGATGACAACGATATTTGTTTCAACGGCGGTGACGATGGAGAGATGTTGTCAAGTAATTCTTTCCGCGATGGAGACGCCGCGGCCATTCCTGACAACGGCCCTGCCCCCACCACAGGCAGCGGCAGTGGCGGCGGCAAGAAATTGGCGGCGGCACGGAAGGATGACCCTGCAGTTTCTTTTGAGAGTACCAGTAAAAAGCCACCACCGGTCACGGCGGCCTCAACGACCCCACCCCGGTGGTCTTCGACGTCGTCAGTTTCTAAAGTATTGGCCGGCAGACGCTTAATAAATCTGGAAGGTGAAATTGCGGCGCTACCTGAGCCGGTTCAATGGGATGCCTTATACGGCGCGCAAGATCCTCCACCGCGTCCTTGTACAAGGGTACGGACGGCCTGTTTTACTCGGGCACTAGAGGCCATAGAAAGAGCGGCACAGATTTCGCTCATGCCCCTAGTGATGCGTCAGCGCCTGGTTCCACGCAATCCTGCGGACGCGGTCGACCTTGCACTCTTGGCGTTTCCGCGATGCACGTTTGTATTTTACTTCGCAGAGTTCGCCACACAATATGTTGCCATCGTTCGCCCTGCCGGACGTTCCTTTTTTCTTAGACGGCTTGTGCAGGCATATTCGCTGAAGGAATTTTACAATAAGAGGCACGTTTCACAACCCTCAACACGAGAAACGGCGTCTTCGGCACTTGCCGAGTCTTTGTCACATGCACCCGTGGAACGTAAGGAAAAACGTCTCTCAGTCATTGCTTCCTCCATTGGTTCCCTCACACGAAGAAGTCGCGCGGGCTCTGTGGATAGATCACCGGTTCTACCGGGTCCAATTGCCGGGCACGCAGTTATGAACGAGGAACTGCAGCAAGGCCTGCAGGACCTGTATGCGGATCTTTGGACCCCTGTTCGGGACTCACTCCGAATGGCTCGCTGCTTCAATGATGAGGCCGAGTGCTTCGCCTTTATTCTTGACCCGGCGTTGCTTCACGTTCCATTGCCCTCGCTTTATGAATCTGGAGCAAACTGTGAACCGTTGGGCCAACAGTTGACAATGGTGGTGGCGCCCAGTGTTGCGAAATTCCTTGGCGGCATGCAGCATGAAGAACAGCCGTCGTTTTTTAACGCCCCTTCAAAAGACCTCTGTGTATTTCTCCCAGAAAGGACGTCCAATGCTTCAGCGGCGAATTCTATGTCACTAGGAAATATTGCCGCAGACAAAGTCTCCGGTAAACAGTCATTGACAACAGCACTAAGCTCCACCACTGCCTCTCTGGAAGACACACATCTCTTCCCTACACCTGTACTTCAGGGTCCGGCGAAATGGCTTTTCGGTAATTTGCATCCTTGGAGCGTATTTACCGGATGTACGCGTAAAGAAATAATATCTGCCTTTGCTTTACCATCCTGCCGGGCCCTGATAGTGCTATGCGATCCTGTTAAGCACATGTTTAAGGTTGCCGATGGCATGGTGCGTCTAGAAGACCTGACACGCGGTCACTCCTGTCTTTCGGAGTCGCTCAGTCTTGTCGTTGTTACAAATGATGCTTCTACCGCCACGTCCGTTGAAGAGCCGGGTGTGGCGGCGCGACTGTGCCTTGAGCATGGCTGTCGCCGCGTACTACGGATGGACCTGCCGCCTGGTACGAGTATCACGGCGGAGCACCATAGACTTGTTCAAATTTATCTCGAGAAACTCCTGCTCGCATTTGAGTGGCGCATGCGTTACCCGTACGCGCTGGCGTTGCGCATGGCGCAAGAGGAAGCGCTGCGTTGCCACTTTCCTCCTGTCGTTTGGGCTTCACTTACACTTCTCGGTGCACCATGAAAAGTAAAAAAAGAAAAAAGGAACGGAGTATGAAATGGGAAGGGTAACTAAAAAAAGGGAGCCTGCATTTAGATGGAGAAAGTGTTCTCTGCGCACGTTTTTTTTTTTCTTTCCCTGTATGTGTATGCGTGTCCACTTTTGTGTTTGTACTTCTTTTTCGTTTGCTTTTTTTTTTCGTTTTGTTTTTTTTCCACTCTTCTTCCATCTGTGTGTGTGTGTGTGTTTGGCACGTACGAAATTTATTTGGCTGCATTTTATTATTATTATTATTATTATTATTATTATTGCCCATTCATTTTTGTGTGTGTAATTACCTTTTCTGCGTACAACTGTGAGGGGGGAGGGGGGGAAGTAACGAAACGAAGGCCATTTCCGTGCCAAACTCTTAGGTCGGCATGATGAGAGGAGGAATAAAAGGAAGAAGGAGAAAAGGGGAGGTGGTGGGAACTGTGCACTCATCCAAAGAGGTGAGGAGCGAAATTTGCTGTCGTGTCTTTTGTTGTTGTTTTTCCTCCCGTTCACGGCTTTGCATTTCTTTCCGTTGACCGTCGCCGCTTTCACAAAAGGGAAAGTTGTACGGCCAATTTAGCCGCTGCGGCCCCACTTTTTCTCATCCTTTTTTTGTTTGTTTGTTGCTTTTGGTTGTTGTTGTTGTTGTTGGGTTCTCCCTCTTCCATAGTCGTCCTTCTGCTTTGCCGTGAGCGATGAACGCGGCTGCGGCCGAGGAGGAACATCCGCCGCTCAAGATTGAATTTGACAGCAACGTGGAGTTGACGATACACGGAGCGTTTCTTCCAACCGCACGGCTGCTACAATGCGACCCCGTGGCGCATGTGAGCGTGTCCACGCTGCGTAAGACAATCTCTGTTCGTGGCGCGAGCTGTGTGAGTGTGGGAGGTAAGGCGGTGGCGACGAACACTGTCGCAACGGAGCACCATGTCGCCTCCACACGGCGGCAGTACTTCACCTCAAAACCAGCTTTCAATGAGATGGTGCGGTTTGTCGTGCCGGGCACGAGAGTTCACCTCCCAGTCGAAAGGTTGTCTCGGGTCGGGGTGCAAAAACAGCCCGGCGTATCGACTGACGACATGGATGGTGAACAAAGCGTGGAGCAGCGGGTTCTCATTACACTGGAGGACGCGCATGGCGGGGCGTATGGCCAGGCGGTTTGTCCATTTTTTCTTCACGCTCCAAGCAGCTCCACGCAGCCGGTACGTATCATGCTGCAGCCACGCAACGCGCATGATAAGTTTGACTTGCTTTTTAAAAAGGACGTGGCAACTCTCGCAGAACACGGCGTAGATGACTTTGGCTTCGTGACTATATCGTGGAAAATATCCCTTTCCCCGCACGGAGGGGCTCTCATCACCGCGTCACCGACATCTGTGGACCAGCCAACTTTTCCCGTGGGACTAGTGCTTCGTGCGACGTGGCTTGTGCCGGGTCATACATACCAACGTGGCACGCAATACACGACCTCCGTGGAATTTGGAAGTCAGGATCGTTTTGTTTTTGACGGCGCCAACCCGTTATTTCTTACAATACAGAACGCAACGCAGCTTGAGCGAGCAATTTTTCATTGTACCATTCAGAACGTGATGAATCACGCTAACTCCCATGATGTGGTAACGGCGCTGCCCATACAGCCCATGGCTTCTTTCGCCATGGAGCGAGATGTGTGGTGGACGACTGCTGTGCGCGCCGCCAGCGGGACAGATTTGGGGCTTCTTATTGCCTCCATACGATTGGTGCGACGGCCACTGGGAGGCGAAACGCCGATGTGTACAGAAGAACGCTGCAGTCTCATTAACGATCCGGCGCATCAGGCGCAGTACGCACATGTTGCGAGGGATTGGGGTCGACCGCCACCAGACGTTCCATCTGGGGCTTACCAGCCTATATTTTGGGAGTCCGACCAACATATTGCGCGGGCAAATGAGCGGCGGTGGAGGCGAGACCGTATCGTGGAGGCAAATCCTTCCATGGAGCATGTACGACACTTGTTGGATGTCATAATGGGACGCGCTACACTTGATCCTGGTGTGGCGCGTGTTGTATCGGTTTTCTTTAACCAGAAATCATCCGGATTTTCTCCACAGGAACTAATGCAGTTCCTAATTACGTGCGCGTTTCACGTGAAGGGCATGACGCCGCTGGAGGCTGCACGTTTCTGTTTCTTTGCACTCCGTCGTGACATGGAACACGCCATTGCAAGGGATGATGTGATCTTTATGCTTGAACACTCGCTCATTGAGCATACAATTGAAATGCCGGAAATGGAGTTGCGGCGCCGTGTGGTGGAAATCTTTGGTGACACCACATATGTCATTTTTGATGACTTTGTGCGGTATTTCATTCACAATTATGCGATGTGGTACGCCTTTGGGGTGCCTGTCACGGTGAGTGGGGAACGCTCCAGCCGTGGTGGTGACGTGGCACCGCAACTCAACCCGACATTAACGCTGCTAAAAGCGGATGGGGAACCCAATGCGAAGGCACGCGCCCCAACTGCAGCGACAACTGTTAGCATCTCTGGTGCTGCCCCTGTCTCTGCTTCTACTTCTACTACCGCCGCGACACCAGCAGCGGCAATAACAACAGCAACGACCCAAAAGGCGGTACCACACGATGAAAGCGTTTGGCGTACATTTATCGCCCGGGTCCAGCACAGCAACAAGGCGTTTAGCGTGACGGCGCATGTTAATGACACCATCTTTGACGTGATGGTGATGGTGCAGAATAGTACAGGGATCCGTGCGGCGTGCCAGGAGTGGCGGGCTGGGAATGTGGCGCTTGACCCAAAGTGCCGGTTGGGCTCCACCGAACTCGGCCTCGGGGGAAATGAGGTCGCCGCACCGGAAGTCATCATCATTGCGCGGGATGAAGCTGTACGTCTTGTGATGGTGTACAAGGAAAAGGGTTTCCGCTGGGAGGTGCGTCTGCCATCCAGTGAGAGGGTGCTTAAACTGCGTGCTCTGGTTCAGCACAAAACAATGATTCCCCTGACACGCTGTGTGTTGCGGGCCCACGGCTCATGTCTGATGGATCGCCACCCACTGGCGCACTACAACCTGCAGGACGGCGATGTTGTTACGATCACACAGGAGTAATTTCACTGCAAATTTCCATAGAAGAGAAGAGGAGGGAAGGCCAAATGCAATTAAAAAAAGAAAGGGAGAAAAAGAGAAAAGGAGCAAAAGCAACATATGGCCCGTTTGCTGTCATCATTTCTGTCAAAATATGATTATTATGATTCATTTTTTTTTTTTTGATGGGGATGAAGAGTGACTAATGCCGCTCAATTATTTCTTCTTCCCTCACAAAACGACATGATGGCTCTCTCTCATACATAAATTTTAGTTCCACGTTGGATCGATTGCTTGCCAATCCGGGCACGCCTTGTTGGCATCCCTCCATATAGAGCATTGACAGCGTGAATGGGCACAAACACACGTACATTACAAAACGAAAGAATTCTATACTTTTTGTTGTGGGTGCTTTTTTTTTTCCCGCTCGTGTATTTCAGTGAGTTTATTATTTTATTCTTTCTCCGTTGGTATATATATATATATATATATACTTCTCCGCATCTCTGTACCATACGTGTGGTGTGTGTTACAAAAGATATAGATGAGCATGAACAATTCTTTCTTCTTGTATCATGTTGTTTGTTATTTGTGGGCTTTAGGCCTCACACTTGTGAGGAAAAAGAAGAGACAACATACATGCCATCTGTGCGGATCTGTTTCTGTAGCCTGTGTTTGCGGTCTGTTCCAGAAATGTATTATTTGCCTCCCTTTCTGAAGAAGGTGTAATAGTCGAAGGTGTATTAGTAGTAGTATTAGTGGTGGTGGTGGTAGTAGTGCTGATTCTAGCCGTTGCGTTAGCCAATAACGATGCTTCCATTTTGTAACCAAACAGAGCTGATGTTTCGTGCCTCAGGTGGTATTCCTGGCATGTTGGGTAGCTACAGCGGCTGCCCCGATGAGAATGGGGTGCAGTATTGCGTACTCTTCCCCACAAGGTTCAGGTGGGGCAACTCACGTCTCCTTGGCTATTGTCTGCCTTCGACATGCACGCTGCTGGACATTGCGCGGCAAGTGGTTTTAGATCCCATGCTAAACGGAACTTTTAACTATAGTGAACTCATGCATGGTGATGGTATGAACACGTCACAGGTAATGGATCGTTTGGAACAATATATCAATTGTGCCCCTCGTTCTTCTTCCTTTTTGGAGCTACATGTACACAATATTGTTTCCTGGGCGATCATGGGGTTCATCATTCTGCTTGTGGTGCTGGCAACACTCTATGACTACTACTGGAGCATCACAGCACGTAGCATCCCATTCGAAGTGGTGATGATGGGAGCCGATGGTGCTGTTGTGCGGGTGTTGCAGCCACCCAATGTGGTTTTGTTGGAGAACCAAAGTAAAACCAACGAGTCAAGTCCGAGGCGTCATGGAGCAGATTTACGGTGCACCACGGAGAAGAAACTCACAGAGAAACAAAAGGGTGGTTTTTCCGCCAGCGTTACAGCGATCACCCAACCACTACTTGTTGCTGTGGAGCAGTCTGAGGCGGATGAGGCTGGCAAGCAAATTGAGCCCGCACACTCACCTCGCATGGGAGAGAGGGAGGATGAAAGCGCCAAATCTCCAAGAAAAAAGACACATTTTGGATCCTTCGTCAGGTATAAAGAGGCTCGAACAGGCGAAGAAGTGGTGTCGGTCAAAAAAGGAACGCGCTCGGGTGAACGCGACTCTTTGCGAGGGGCGGGCATTCTTCCGGAATTCAACACGGAATTGCTCTGGTCGCACCGACGAGTGCAGAAGTTTCTGGCGGAGATCCCAGATGTGCCCAACTTTCGTTCATTTCTGAATCGCACCGTATTGTGTCTGTCATTAATTAACAGTTTCCGTAAGTGGCGCTATTATCCAAAGTCCGAGGTGAATCTAAATTTATTCAACAGCTGGCGGGTAATTGCGTGGATGTGGATTATGATGTTTAGCTCTTTTTGGTATTCCCAGCAGATTCCCACCATGAATAATATAGGTTCACCTCCAGTTAACTTTATTTATGCCTTTCTTGGGAAGGAAGCATTTTCTGCTTTTGCTGTTGGAACCTTTCTCACCATTGCTGGCTTTTTGGCGTTGCATCGCCTTCATGTCTCTGAGGAGTTACTTATGAGTTCACCCACCGCTCGCGTGAGGGCATCAAAGCGTACATGTCGTCAGGTGTTGGCTGAATGTATGTTGTGGTATGCCAAGTATCTCATTGCCCGCTTTGTACGTGTCATCCCCATTTCTTTTGCCATATTCATGCTTTTACCAAACGCTGTGTCCGGCTTTGGCATGGACCCTTTTGGAGACTTTTTTCCCAATCACCGCGTTCTATGGAAACTGCATGAAGTACTGGTGGAC